CTTGCTGTAACTGCGAAGTATGAAGTACTGTTTAGTCAAATATTTCGAAGTTTTCGGATGGAAATGTCGGAAAAATTAATTTTGGCGTCGTTGGTGCATAAAGCAGCTCGATTATTATTATTTTTTTGGGGAATGGATTGCTTTTCATGAACTGCAATTTCCACAGAAATTCATCCCCCCCCCCCCCGTTTTATTCAAGTTTGCAGTCCCTTTATTGTTTGAGAATGGAGTTTTATGATTTTGAGCTGGTTCAAAATTATGTCGGCAAAATAGTTCTAATGACTGAAAAACCCTCGACTGGAAAATGGGATTTGAAGCCAATTTCTTGTTTTTGCTATTTGTTCTATATACAGTATCTCCTTTCAGTAAGTGGTTTTTAAATTACCGGCTCACTGATGAAAGGTGAACAGAGTCGAATCTAACCGCAGAGTTGCCAAGAAATATGAAAATTACCAAGCTGCTCCCTGCACTGATCAAAATTTATTTTCCAATGTTCCATGGAAAATTTTAAACTATTTGACTAATGTGCAGTTCCAGTGAACAGTTGTGACTCTTTTGAGTTTTGAGGGTGTCTTATCGATAATATTTTGGTGAGATGAAATTACTGTATCTATATTCCATCCAAAATTCCGTATGCGGTAATGTATTCTGAATTCCAAAAAAACCTAACGGGAAATAACAAAGGAACAGATCCAGCTGCAGGAGATTTCCGAATCAAGGAAAAATAATTGCCGAGGACGAAAGAAAGTGCAGAAACTATTTGGCAAAACTTTCTGCCGTCATTCTGGCAGCCTTGCTGTTCGTGTCCGTCACGTTCCAATGGGGTGAAGGGGTTGTCCTACCAAAGACATGAAGACACTCCTGAGTATTTAAAAAAAAAAAATTCCTATGATTACCGTGAATACTTTGTTGTTGTTGTTGTTGTTTTAAACCTCGCTCTGTGTTTTTCGTTGTTGTGGCAACGGTGTGCAGGTTCCATTGGTGTGCGAGAGGCGTGGCCCAGGTTTTTTTGGGGGCGGTCCGCTGAGCCATCAGCCAATCCGCGTGCGCATCTTGGGTGGCATATTTGGCACAACGTTTTCTACCGCTGCGCGCAAAAACACCTTTTCAAACTTTCTGCGGCTCTCCTGTTGTGTGAGTAAGTGTACACAGTTTTACGGTAATAATACATCCATGAATTTGATACGTTTTTGGACTGCTACCCGTGTTTACTCGAGTACCACGCGCACATTTTTTTTCCCTAAAATTCAGAAAATAAGGGGTGTGCGTCATAGGCGGGTAAAAGTTTTTTCAAAAAGTTTCAGGAAGTCATGTGTGCATTATACAGTTGAACCTCTCTAAGTCGAATTTAGGAAAACAATTTGACTTGAGGAGGTTTTGAGTTGAAGAAACAATCATATGTTTCTGTGAGGATAAGTAAAACAAATTGCAGGAAATTGTAAATGAGGATATTCTGGGCCTAAACTTCCTTCTTAACATGAGTTTACAGCTTGCTGAACTTGAATGCAGGGGTTCATTTGCTTAATTAGACTTTCACTTCCTTTCACAATGCATAAACCTATTTTTTTCATTGAGTTTATCTTTCATATTTCAAAGAAATTATAATAACCCAAAGGCATCAGAAAATTCAACTTACACAGGTTTGAGAGAAAAAGACTTGAAGTTAGAGAGGTTTTCAATGCATTGTTTCTAAGGTAATTCAGACTGGGACTAGAAAAAATTTTTTTGGTTCCACTTAGAGTTTCAACTGTACTTGATTATAATGGAAAATGTTGGAACAAATGTAACAAGAAAACTTTTTGATTTAAAAAATTGGTCAGATTTATGTTCAATTCATGTCTGATTTCAGTCAAATTTTCTTGTGATAATTTTTGAAAGTATGTGGTTTTAGAGTCACTAAAAATTGGGGTGCGCATCTTACTCCAGGATGTAAGATTTTAGCACAATTTCCAAATGAAAAACCCTGGCACACGCCGTACTTGAGGGTGCGTGGTACCCAAGTATGAGGGTTGTTTCATAAGTTTTGAAACTTTTAGAAATAGATTCAACAGAGTTTCAACCAATCTTGAAAATATTTTTACTCGCATATAACCCCATCATTTGGCAACACTTCAGCGCTGCTCAACATACTCTCTGCCGATTTCAACGCATTTTCCATGCAATAAAATCAATGATCAAAACAGTGCCAAAAATCAAGTTTGGTGGCCAAAAGTTGGGACCAAAGTTGGAGAATTAGCACTAGAACTCGGTTTTCGGCACTGCTGTTTTGATGGTTGGATTTAGAATCGGCGGAGAGTGTGTTGAACAGCACTGAGGTGTTGCCAAATGATTGGCCGGGTTATGCGAGTAATTTTTGGGTTGTTTGCAGAATTGCTGAAACTCTGGTGGATCTGCTGTACTCTCATTACTTATGAACCAACCCTCGTAAATACACCTGCTGTGCAACCTGTTGTCGGTTCCCTGCAACCCTCTGATGATGAATAACTGATGGTTCCGCAGCGGAAAGTGCCGCAGATCGGACCAGTACCCCGAAAACAAAACAAAAAAGACGACGACGACTCTCCCTGATGGAGGAACGCTCTGCTGGTGGTGCTGCTTCATCAACACCTGAAGCAGATACCAAGCCTGACGGTGGATCAAACAGCCTCTTCATCAGTGAAAATGACAAGATATTCGCAACGACTCAATTAATGATCGCAATTCGCAACAGCAAACTCGAAGCAAAAAAACGCCTCAAAAAAGTGAAAAAAGCAATTGGAAATGGAGCAAACATTAATTTCCAAGACCGTAATGATCCTGGAAAGAATACGCTTATGCATCTAGCAGTCGAAAGAGGTCAACTGGAAGTCGTTCAATTCCTTTTGCAGAAAGGCGCTAATTGTGAGATAAAAAATGAAGGCAGTAAAACCCCTTTAGAATTAGCAAAAGACCTTCGGAATCCGGAAATAATTTATGCACTGGAAAATCACGCCGGTGAAATGCCACGTATGCGAGCAGAAAATCACGACGCATTGGAAAGGAGGACACCATCATCAGAGGAAACCTCGTCTAATCAGAATTCCTCCACCGGAGTGTCAAACGAAAATGCTGATAAATGTTACGAACGCAGCCCCGGCACGACTGGCAGCATTGCGGGAAATTTCTTTCAGCTCGAGCTTTTGATGCTATGTTTGGTCCGTTGGTGGAAGAAAGGGTATTCTTTTCAACTAGGTTCAGAATGGAAAGCTGCGGGTAAATTCGACGATTTAACTGTGGAGTACACCGACGTGGATGGAGTCACAAGGTATCGACTGTTGCAAGCAAAACATCGGATGGATGAGAATAATAAAGTAAACCGGATCCGATGGAAAGATTTGATGCCGGAAAACATTGCTCTTTTGGAAAACGGGGACTTCAGCTTGATCAAGTACTTCATTTCCTATCAAACCATCACGAGCAAACCTCCATTTGAAAATCAGCGTATCAAAGACGTCATCGTATTCACCAACATCGGCTTGAACGTTGCTGACAAACAGGTTGAAAATGTTGTGGTTAAAGTCACTGCTGAAAACGATCCTCTGCTCCATTTCCCCGACGACAAGTCCGCGGTCTGTTACAAATTCAAAAAGGATGATGATGTATTTTTGGCGAAACTCGCCAAAAATTACCAGCAGCTCCTCGAACATGACAGAAAAAAAAAACAGAAAAAAACCAGCTCCTCGAACATGACTGATGAAGCGATCAGTGATCAAAACCAGAAAAAAACCAGCTCCTCGAACATGACTGATGAAGCGATAAAGCAAAAACTCATTGATTTCCTAGAGCATCTCACGCTGTTTGTTAATCAACCCAATCGAGAGCGTTTGAGTGAGATTATCGAGAAAGAAATAAATTCATCGGACAGTGGCTATATTGCAGACCAAATCCTTAGAGATTTGCGTGAATGGTTTCTTGGTCCAGGGAACAAGATGCGGTTTTTGAATGAGCAAGATGCCAAACGCATTATTGAGGAAGCTATAGGAATGATCAATGCCTGGATGGCTGCAGCCTTGAGTAAAGCTTATCGTGCTGAAATTGAGACTTTTGGGATCCGCTTTGAAATTGCGTCGACAGAGTTTCAGCTGTTCAACTCAAAACTTATTACTCATTACGTGGTTGATCACCCAACAGAAGTGATGGAATTGCAGGCCATCAGGCTGCTCAATGTCCTCAATGAATCCGAATTCAAGGAAAAGTTTCTTCTGCTTCCATTGAAGACCCTAAAGGAGCCCAGCCAGAGAAAATGGGTGGTCGATGCCTTTCGTAGCCTGGGTTACGATGTTTTAGCCATCGTCTGCAATGCATCAGCAGATACAGCACTGGATGCAAACTTTCATCAGGAAATAGCCCCGCCTCCGGGTAAAAAGCTGATTCTATTGGCAGCGCCTGAGGAGCCACTTGCCAAACAATTCAAGGATGATGAGAACTTTGCTGAATCAGTTAGAGTCATCCAACTGAAGGAGCCCGACTTTGCGGCGTTAACCCAGGACTCGAAAAACACAATCTTGGAACGGGAGGTCAATTTTCAAGGCACATCGGTTCCATTGGAAGATATTCTGATGGATGAGTCAAGGCAGTTTGTGAAGGGGAAATCATTAAATCAACTGCTGGCAACGAGACAACCCATTAAAATTGGCAAGCGCCCACATACGTCCAACGGTTACGACAGCAAATTCTATGTCCATAGAACCTTCGAAATAATCTCAGAAACTAATTCCGAACCAAACCATCCATCGTCGATCAGCGATACCCCGGTAATACTTCTTTCAGAACAAGACCTACTTCGCCAAAAGGAAACGCAGGTATTGATTGCTGATGCTGCAGGGATGGGAAAAAGCACAGTAATCACCCACCTGTCCCATCAAATCAAGGAACAAAACCGCAATGACTGGGTAGTGAGAATTGATTTGAATGACTATTCCAAATTACTGGCTGGAATTGAAAAAAAATCATCGCCTGAAGATTTTCTCGCTCATGAAGTATTAGAACTCGAGAAACAGAGCTTGGAACACCTGCTCTTTCAACACTCTTTCCAAAAGCAAAGAATGGTGTTGCTTTTTGATGGTTTTGATGAAATCAGTCCGACTTACAAGGAAAAAACAGTCACTCTTCTGGAACTGCTGCTTGAAAAGGGGACAATCAAACAGCTTTGGGTTACCACTCGTCCACACTTGAAAGAGGATTTGGAAAAAGTATTGGGCAAACCCGCCTGTACCTTGAAGCCCTTTACAAAGGAAAATCAAATTGCCTTTTTAGTCATGTACTGGAGTCATAAAAAGCAAGACCTACAAGATGACAGCGAGAAACAGAAGCTGCTGAAAAAATATGCAGAGCTGTTGCTTTCTAAATTCGAAAATTCAGTGAATGATAGGAAAGGAACGTTTACGGGTATTCCGTTGCAGACAAGGATGTTGGCGGAAGCATTTGAAAATGATGCGACGAATGCTTGTAAAAATGGCAAATCCGAACTCGAGTTGACAGACCAATTCGATTTGGTGGAATTGTATGAACGGTTCATCGATGAAAAATACTATAAAAGGTATCAAAAGGAAAAAAACAAGTCTGACCCGAATCAACCAGGCACAAAAGAGGATGCTAACATTTTGAAACCCTTGTATGAAGAGGAGCTTCAAGTACACGCATTGCGAGTTGTATTGGATGAAGGTGCAATTGAACAACTCCAAGAGTTTTTGCCAAAAATAAGAAATTTATTTTCTGAAGAAGCATTGGTTCGTAAGGGCATCATTATGCATTCTAATGGGAGACCGCAGTTTATTCACCGGACTTTTGCGGAATACTTTGTGGCCAGTTTTTTTGTAGGAATACTGAAAGATGAAACAAAGGCGTTGTTCTTGCAAGATTTCTTCTTCAATAATCTCCTACTAAAACATGGGTACCAGGTTGTCAGAGCCTTCCTGAATGGTTTCTGGAAAAAAGACGAGAGTCTCCAGCCAGGTGATGCTATTTTAGAATCCTATGGAGTGTATTTAAAAAAACTCTGGTGTGAAAATGAGGATACCAGAAAAGAAGATTCAATACTTCACATTGCTGCTAAAGAAGATAATACTCTCATCATTTCTTTTCTGAAAACATTTTTAAAAGAACACCCTGAAACTGAAAAGAACTTCTTCCTGGCCAAAAATATTTTTAATGGAAAACTTGCTTTTCACCTGGCAGTAGTTCATAGAAACACAGAAACACTGGAACTACTTTTCAAATGGGGCAAAGAGGAACTTGGTCTAACTTCAGAACAGCTTGCAGACAATTTGCTGCTGGCCAAAAATATTAAGGGAGAAACTGCCTTTCACCTGGCAGCAGGGTGTGGAACAACCCAAGCAATGATACACCTCTGGAAATGGTTCAAAGATGAGGAACGTGGTCTGACTTCAAAACAGCTTGCAAAAAAATTTCTGCTGGCAAAAGATAATGTGGGACAAACTGCCTTTCACCTGGCAGCAAAGGATGGAAAAACTGAAGCACTGATACTGCTCTGGGAATGGGGCAAAGATGGTCTGACTTCAGAACAGCCTGCAGAAGATTTTCTGCTGGCCAAAGATCGGTATGGACAAAGTGCCTTTCACCTGGCAGCAGAGCATGGAAAAACTGAAGTACTGATACAGCTTTGGGAATGGGGCGAAGAGGAATTTGAACGGACTTCACAAAACCTTGCAGATGAATTTCTGCTGGCCAAAAATAATAAGGGAAAAACTGCCTTTCACCTCGCAGCAATGGAAGAAAAAATGGAAGCACTGATACAGCTCTGGAAATGGGGCAAATATGAGAAAATTGGTCTGACTTCAGAACAGCTTGCAGACAATTTGCTCCTGGCCAAAGATAATTATGGACAGACTGCCTTTCACCTGGCAGCAGATGCTGGAAAAACTGAAGCACTGATACAGCTTTGGGAATGGGGAGAAGAGGAACTTGGTCTGACTCCAGAGCTTGCAGACAATTTTCTGCTGGCCAAAGATAATGATGGCTACACAGCATTTCACCTGGCAGTAACTAATAGACACACAAAAGCACTGAAACTAATTTTCAAATGTGGCAAAGAGGAACTTGGTCGTCTGACTTCAGAAAATCTTGCATTGAATTTGCTCCTTGCCAAAGATATATATGAACGAACTGCCTTTCACCTGGCAGCGACGTTTGGGAAAACTGAAGCACTGATACAGCTTTGGGAATGGGGCAAAGAGGAATTTGAACGGACTCCACAAAAGCTTGCAGACAATTTTCTGCTGGCCAAAGATGATCATGGACAAACTGCTTTTCACCTGGCAGTAAATAATAGAGAAACTAAAGCACTGATACAACTCTGGGAATGGGGCAAAGAGGAATTTGAACGGACTTCACAAAACCTTGCAGATGATTTTCTGCTGGCCAAAAATAATATGGGAGAAACTGCCTTTCACCTGGCAGCAAGGGCTGGAAAAACTGAAGCACTGATACAGCTCTGGGAATGGGGCAAAGAGGAATTTGAACGGACTTCACAAAACCTTGCAGATGATTTTCTACTAGCCAAAAATAGAACGAAAAAAACTGCCTTTCACCTGGCAGCAAGGGCTGGAAAAACTGAAGCACTGATACAGCTCTGGGAATGGGGCAAAGATGGTCTGACTTCAGAACAGCTTGCAGAACATTTTCTGCTGGCCAAAGATAATAATGGACAAACTGCTTTTCACCTGGCAGCAAAGTCTGAAGAAATGGAAGCACTGATACAGCTTTGGGAATGGGGCAAAGAGGAATTTGAACTGACTCCACAAAAGCTTGCAGACGATTTTCTGCTGGCCAAAGATAATTATGGACAAACTGCTTTTCACCCGGCAGTAAATTATAGAGAAACTAAAGCACTGATACAGCTCTGGGAATGGGGCAAAGATGGTCTGACTTCAGAACAGCTTGCAGACGATTTTCTGCTGGCCAAAGATAATTATGGACAAACTGCCTTTAACCTGGCAGTAAGGTATTCGAACAAAAATGCACAGGAACTAATTCTCAAATGGGGCACAGAGGAACTTGGTCTGACTCAAGAACAGCTTGCAGAAAATGTCCCTCCCGGCCAAAGATAAAAATGGACAAACTGCTTTTCTCCTGGCAGCACAGTTTTGAAAAGTTGAAACACAGATACAGCTCTGGAAATGGTCATAAGAGGAACTTGGTCTCACATCAGAACTGTTTCCAGAGAATTTGCTGCTGGCTGAAGATAGCGATGGAAAAACTGTCCTTCACCTGGCAGCAATAATTGAAAATATAAAAGCACTGGAACTACTTTTCAAATCGGGCAATAAAGAGGCACTTGGTCTGACTTCAGAACAGCTTTCAAAACTGCTTTGTATTTTTGCATTCTTCTTAATTTTCATTGCTGTACAGTACTTTATATTGTAGTGTGTTTCTTCTTGTAAGATATTAATTTCTCTGCTGCGTCTCTCAGTTTTGTGTTCCTGTTGTTTCCTCCTGATGGAGGCGGCGGTGTGTGAGAAAGAAAGGCACCACCGCCCACAAGAGGCATTGATTTGTATATCTTGCCCATGACCTCAGTGCTGAAAACAAGCAAGTGTCAGGGCAAGGGTGCTTCAATGTATGGTGTGTGGGCTGATGTATCAGTGGCAATGCCAGACCATGTGCTGCCTGTATGGACTGAGTGAACAAATGTACAGTGTTAATTCTCCTGTTGATGGGGTTTAATTGCTGCTGAAACATCCAGCTTCTTCAATAGCCAATAATCAACTGTCAACTGAAGCAATTAAATTATTTTAGAAGCTAACAGAATCAGAGAACAAAGTGCCCACTACAGTAAACTTGAAAATACAGGGGTTTAAGGCAATCTATGTTAAATATTGTCTACAATGTTCCAAGAATAGAGTAAAATATTATCTGCAGAAGGTTTTGTTCAGTTTCTCAAGTGTAACATCAGTAAAGGCAGTTAAAAGATCCTAATTACTCAATTTTGTCATGATAATTGTGATGTTGTAGATTCAAGTAATTTACTAGCTGATCTTGCTTGTGGCAATACTAAACCATTACTATTTGCATCATCTAACATCCCCTTAATACATGATGCTGTAGCTATTTTGATTAATTCATAATGGCACTTCAGTAAGAAATTCATCCAATTTTCAAAGGTGTATAAGTGGTGTGACTCCTGCAGCATAAATACATTAGTTTGTGCATCACGAGAGCACCTTCTCTTCTCATGTCCAGCATTTCATACTGATAGAAATGAGCTTGAGAAAGATTTACAAGTATTGGAATTCAATGAAGAGACCCTTTCTAAAATCTTAAAGGATCATGATAAACTGCTGGCCTTCTATGATTTCTCATCAAAGATTCTCTCTAAATTGTTCATTCAACTAAACCTCATCCAGAAACAAGCTGAAGACCTTGTGATTTAAATTAATTGTTACTGATATTTTGTTTTCAATGTCAGGGAAGGGATGGGTATATGCATACATGTCAGATGTCCAGATGCATTTTGTGGATTGTATTTTCTTTTATTTTTGTTATTGATTTGTTTTCTGTTTCCATGCTCTGAAGTGATTAAATGCCTTTGAGTTGATTTGGGTGGGGTGGGGGGGGGGGGGGTTGGATGCAGAAATCTTGATTGAACCTTGTGAACGCTGAAAAGCAGAAAATAAAGCATTCTGTTCATTCATTCATAAACATTAATATGTTTTATTTTTTATATGCTCTTCCTGTTTTACATTGGGGCTGCTGTGGTGGCAAAAAATAAATTAGCTCAGGAAAAATTTGAACTGAGCAATAATGTTCTAAAAAACTAGACATGAAGTCCAAAAATTTTTTTTCTTCCACATTTTCAAGATTAAGGTGCGCATAGTACTTGGGTAAATAAGGTAACGTATTTCAATTTGGAACCAATTTACCCATCAATAATTTGTTTTCGCATCCACAATAAGGAACTGTCAACACATCTTGTTTGGAACTCAGCTGAACTTCCCTCCAAAATCCTCTTGCCATGTTTTTTTGCTATTCAGAAAATGCCTGAAGGCTGGCATAAAAAAAAGAGAGAAGAAGATACATTTCCTGTGCAAGGAATACTGTACATCTAAAAAAACAAAATTTCTTCGAGAATTTTATTTTTCCTTTTTCCCCCCTCCATCGGTGAAAAGCGAATTGAGGGGGAAACGCCGATGAGCCACGGCACGGAGCAACAGGAACCATGCCTTTTGTTTACGCCCACACAACTGGAAAAGAAACTGCATTTTCATGCGCAGTCACGCCCTTTCTTCCAGTCAGTCCAGATACTGCCACAGACAAGGAAGGGAAGAAAAACAGAGACAAGAACAGAGAGTCGAATTTCAGGTGGGTTCTCGAGATATACACAATGTATCTCGTTACATGGCGCAATAATCCCGACTGCATTTCTGTCCTCAACGCGCTTCTTACTCAAAGCTCCTATGAAATGGTTCTAACAAAAGTTCTCGGAATAGGAATTAAGAAAGGGCGCACAATCGAGCTGAAAAACATTATTTTTTTAGGGAAAACATGTTGTTTGGCACACACACAAAAATCAGCCCTGTTTGACAAATTTTTTTGAATGTTTTGCAAAATTCATCCTGGCAGAGTTTTGCTCTCCACTCAGAAGATGAGGCATTTTTTTTTGTGTTGCCCAGCTTTCCCCTCAGAATTTTTGCAATCAACATGGCATTAATTCCAAGGGTTGCCTCCAGGTCTTACAAGGTAATTCCACCATTTTCATCTACATGCAGCCGCCACATTGGCCGCCACTTTGGCGGCTGTGAAGGTAGCTGTTGATGAAAACGGCGGAATTACCTTGGAAGACCTGGAGGCAACCCTTGGAATTAATTGTCAAACAGGGCTGATTTTATTTTGTGTGTGCCAAAGAATATGTTTTCCCTAAAGCATAATTTTTTTCCTGCTCGATTGTACCCCCATTTTAATTCATATTCCGAGAACTTTTGTTAGAACCCTCGTATAAAAGAAAATAACAAAAGAAAACTTCACGGAGAAACCAGAGAACAGAAGAAAAGAAAAATCGTTGAAAACATGAATGAAAGTTCAAAACAAGTAAAATACGCAGTGTGTGGGGATCCAACATAACGGAACAATTTTGTTATTACGTGAGTTTTTCTTTTATGTGACACGCAGATTCCTTTCAAGTTTTTTTTTTTTGCGTGTGCAAAAGTCGAATTGTTCATAGCTCCAACAAAACTTAAAAAATTTAAAGTATGTGAAATTGAGGTTTAGTGAATTAAAACAAATAATAGAGCATTTTTCTAAGAAAAGAGGCAAAAATTCTTTGGATATCATAAAATTTATTCAAGATTGACAAAAATGGTCCTTCGAAGTTTTAAAACTTGTAGATGAAACTACGCTCTTCTATCAAATGCTTTTTTTTTGCTTCGGCAACACTTTCCAAAAGAAATAATTCCTGAAATGTATGCATTTCTGCGTTGAAAAAGTCAGTTATATATGAAAGATGAGCGAATTTTTCGTCAGTAAAAGGTTTTGAGATGCAAAATTGCATTCCGTGAGTCATACTCAATTACAAGAAGCAGTGGCTTCATTGGAATGGATTGTTGCTATAATTTTTCTTTAAAAATAAGTGAATGATGGGAATATTCTGATTTAATCTCAATTTTATCAGATTGTAATTTTCAGAATGTAATTCGTCAACGCTTTCTTCATTTTTCCATTTTCATTCAACGCGAATTTTTCAACATAAAACGCATACCTGTTGACACAATCACGTTAGACGTGATTATTATCTATTTTTATAGATGCTTGAAAAAATAAATAAATTCACGAATGAGTGAGCTTTTAAAAAACGGAATCACTTCCCTTTCCGTTCATTTTTTTTTCGGAAAACCGCAGCAGGAAATCATTCAATTAAATCCCGGTCCGGAAAAGTTTAAACCCAGGCAAACACCCCAGGGGAAGCAAAAAATTAAATAGGCGTATAATAATCTGGAAAGCTGATTTCCCCCCTCGAGTTTTTTTTTATTATTATTATTTCCTTCTCCCTTCCACGCGAACCTATTTACACGGCTGACCGAAAAACAAATTAAATTTGGATCGGGAAAACGCCGGAGAACAAAGAATGAAGCAATTTTCAAAGTACCGAATCGATTCAGATACAGCGACTTTTTCATTTGTTTCCGGCGTATGATTTCCAAAAGAATGGCTCCATTTTTTTTCAATAAAATAATAAGCTCTTATACAGTACGAGGCGTATGATTTTTTTGTCTTTGCGATTTCATGCCCCGAACTTCAGTATATATTGTATTTGAAAAGCATCCATTTAAAATTCACGTCATACTCAAGTTGCTGGCCGAAATTGGTCATGCATTTAATTTTTTTTCGCTTGTTTCCTTCGTCTCTTTTGCAAGAACGTGTTTTTCACGCTGTTCATGCACAAGTTGTTGAAGAAAAAAATGTTCATATTTTCCAAGGATGGAAACTTATTTTTTTTATACTGCATTTTTCCTTTCGATGTTTTTAAACACCTTCTATAATCATCAACATCCTTTTAAATTAAGGCTGATGGGTTTTATATTAAAAAAAACTTCGAGAAATTCGGAAATTTTGGAGAAAACAAATCGAGATTATTTTATAGTCTCACATAAAAAAATAACCGAAGCAAATTTTCAAAATAGGCCTTATAAAGGAAACCCTCTCAAATAATTTTTCAATCTGATAAACATGCCTCTATATGCCATATAGAACACACAAAAAATAAATTAATCTATGAATGACATTCTCAGTACTTTTATGATTAATAGTCGACACATATTTCTTGGACATTGGTTCATGAGATGAACGGGGCTGACGCAGTAAGATTACATTTCTAGGCGCAGCTGAAAGAATAGCCTTTTCATAAATCATCTCCAATGTTTTTCGCTGTAGACATCAATGATTTATTGTCCAGATTTTTGTAACTGTTTGGGTTTCTTGCGTCTGAAATAGACTCGATGTCCAGCTGGAAATACTATATGTAGGCAAAAGCATATTAATTGATGCATTAACAAAGAACCAAATTCCCCAAAAAATTATTTGCTGTTTTTCTATGTGATTCTTCTTCTTGAGCAAGATCTAAGTTGGATTTATTAATGTAACCTGTGAAAAAATTACGTGTGGTGAGAAAATTCAGTGAACGGATGATGAGCAGAGACATCTATTGACAATTCTCGTTTAATTTTGAAGACGGTACAAGGCAAGTCTTCTTCGTCTACATGATGAAATTATGTTGGCGAAATTTATTTTTTTAGTCCTCCAAGTTTTTTGTGGACAGATATTTTGTGCGATCATTGCATTAATATTGATTTATCAGATATTCAAAAATTTTTATTGGTGTACAGTAGGAGGGGATACCACGCTAAATTTATTCAAGATTTTCGGGAATGTCCTCAAAATTATGGAAAATATTTCTTGAATGACTGTTTCAGCCCTGAAAATAATTGAAAAAAGTTTAATCATGCGTGATACTCGTATTCGAAAAACGTCGTCAAAGGCTAGTTGTTTTCAGCCAAAAAATTTAAATTTTAAATACTCTCAATTTTTTATACTCACCCGTTTTACAATATCCTCGGAGTCGAATCGAAGGGACCGAGCAACTTTCTGGACATTCCCGAGCGCATTTAACAAAAATCAACTCAGGCAACAACAACGGAAAAGCGATTTCATTCCCAGTTCTTATTTTTTTTCACTCGCACCCTGTATTGTACACTACAGTAGTATAGTATTCCTGCAGCGTGTGGTGGGAAACACCCCATACGTCGGTGATAACGGTGTCAAATATCCCCCCAACCAGCACCTGAGGGAAATTACAAGGAAATTTAAAATAAAAAAAAGAAATTTTCCACCGGGAATTCCCACCCGCATGCCGGACCTGCGCAAATCATGCGGGATCCGCTGATCACGGTTTCCGCCGCCGCAACAGACCGAAGCAAATACAGTAATTGAAAGAAATAATCCTGTTCTCCTTTTCCATCAGTTGTTTTATTTTGCTTTATTTATTTTTTCTCATTTCCAGCTCTACAAAGACGTAGATGACTATATGCAATGCGTCATATATCGACAGATAATGGAAATGAAGAAAAAGGAAAAACAAATAATTTATGAAGAGAAGAAAGAATAATAATCGTGTCTCGAGACGGGTCATTCCGCTGATGACACAGATCCACTAATTGACACGAGGGTTGATTCAGAAGTTCTATTACATGTGTGTGTGTGTGTATTTCTCTCTCTTTTTTTGTGGTCTCTTTCATAGATTTATGACGTTGGACGACATTTTTAGAATGTCCCAAGTTACTTCCTCGAATGGTTCTCTGTTTTTCAACCTTCACAACTGCACAACTTCATCCTGCACAACTGATTTTTGCACAACAGACGGTCTCTGGAGGCAGTTTCCCTTCCCACACAAAGGACTGAATCCACATAACAGACTCATGTTAGTTTAAAATTAATAGTAAAAATGAAAAAAAATATTCAAATTTTAATAACTGAATCCACATAGCAGACTTTTCACACACTAGACTAGTCTGTTGAACAAATCAAGTCCATTGTGCGGGTATCGACTATTATTTATTAAATGACTCGAATTATCCCAGATGTTCAACGCTCAAGTTGATACGGCAGAACTTTTTAGGAATCCCTAGCATTTTCGACGACGATCTCGAGTCAAACTGCTGAGATTTGAGACTCATGGAAAGAATTCGTTTTTGGATTCCTTTTCCCCCCACTTGGGCACAAAACTGAGCGTTTTATTACCTGAAGCCCCCCCTCCCAAAAAAAAATGATTGCGGGATGGACAACCTTCCGTTTTCGGGTAATCCAGCTCAAGGATCGATTTATTTTTAAATCACTAATGCATGACATGGGTACGATTGTAAAAAGAACCCTTCTATTTTCCGGCCCGCAAAAATAAAAGAATCATTTTGCTGGATATAACCACATATTCGGGGCAAATATTCCACATATTTCGGCAATGAGATAATGCCGGAGTGCGGAATTCTGCGCTTTTTTTCAGAGAAGCGAAGGATAAATGAATAACCGAACAACTGATGTAGAATAGATAAAATATCCTTTCCTTGTAACCTCCGAATTGATGGATGGAAATTTTTTGAGAACATTGGAAATGATCAGGGGTATTTTACCATCAGGATACCCCAAGGCCTTTTGTTGGCTTTTGGAATTATTGACCATAATAGTGAATAAAACGTAAAACTTTCCGTGCTTGGACACGCATCTATTACGTGGCAATTTTTTGTAACAATTGATATTTCTTGTGAATCAAAAGAATCTTTGATAAGAATAACAGTAGAAAACATTTGCCGTAGTAATTTGTAAATTATGTAAAGTCTTTTTCGCAGGTGATGACTGAAAAATAAGAAACGCAGGAAGAAAAACATATATTTGCTATCGTTTATTCATTTAGTTCCATGCTGAGGATAGATTGGTGAATACGACTATTTTGAATAAATCTGATGCATAAATTTTCAAGCAATTTGACAAAAAAAAATGACGCAGTTGGTCCGATTAATTGAACATCATCATTTGAACAGAATATATAAAACACTTGATGCGAATCAGAGGAAAAATACAGTATTCCGGCTGATTTAGACAAAACATGTTTATCAAAATACAGAAGCTTATAACAACATGTATATAAATTTTTTAGAGCGAAATTCAGCGTATGGGCAACTTTTGCTCCTTTAAAACTTCATATCAGAATTATTGTGTCCTCAGGTTCTAGTTTTTCACCAGTAAATTTTTAACGCTTTATAAGATAATAAAAAAAACTTGCCCCCAAAAAGCTGAAATCACTCACCAACATTTTTTTCGTACAAACACTTTTTACCCAGGTATGATGTACGTAGGTCCAAATTTTCCTTCTCAATTCTTGTAGAAGAAAAAGATTCCAATATCAGTAAGACAAATCATTGCCTGCAATGCAAAAAATTTATTTTGTAGGTTCTTGCCCAAAAATTTCAATACAGTTGAACCTCTCTAAGTCAAATTTCAAGGGACCTGCAAAAAATTCAACTTAGGGAGGTTTTGACTTAGGGAGGTTCAGAATTTAAAGGTTGAATCTTAGAATAATGTAAATGGTGATAGTTTGGGGCTTGAAAAGGCTTCTTAAATGAGTTCAAAAGGCTGCTGAACTTGGAGGCAGGTGTTAATTTGCCCAAATAAGTCTTTCACTTCCTTTAAAACCCATACATTCATGTTTTTATTGCTTTTTCTCTTTCTTGGGAGAAGAAAATAATGGCCAACAGGCCATAGAAAATTCGACTTATGGAGGTTTGAAGGAAAAGCTTTTGACTTGGGGAGGTTTTTAATCTATTGTTTCTAAACGGATTGAGATGGGAATATGAAAAAAAATTCGACTTAAGGGGGTATTTGACTTATTTAGGGAGGAAAAGTTATTGAGGTTCACCTGTATTAATGAAATTTCTTTCTATAAAGCGTTTTTTTTTCTAGCACAGGTTTTTCCTGGTTTAAATGGCTGTGATGTTGCAAGGTTTCACTGTACTCTGAGCCAACTTGTGAATTTTATCAATGAGTGATGACAGTAATACTGAAAACGCATTCAGGGTAAATAGAGTTTCTAATTCAAGAATTGAGTTTTCATGACAGAAAAATGGAAGTATAGTGCCAAGGTACCAAGCAGTTTTCATCATCAGTGTGAAACTGGGGGTAGGAAGAAGAGGGTCAATGGAGAAAGGCTATTGATCTGGGACCAAAAAGGCGAGGAGGGGGAGGTGTTCACACAGAGGGAAGAAATCAACAATGGGGAGTGTGGTGCCAGCTGTGGATGTGCTGCAGGTCCAATCGATGCCCACGTGGCCCACATTTCCCCTCTCCAATTGCTCTGGAACCCGGGTCCGACCCCTCCTCAAACTCAGCTGAGCTGCTGATGATGCGGGGTGGACCCCCAGCAAACTGCTGCCAGAACCACCACTGCCTGCAAAACTGGGTGAGCTTCAGCAGCAGATCTATATTTGCACTTGAGTGGATCTTTCTCCTCCTTTTTACACCCCCGAGAACCCCTTTTCATACCGCAAGTAAGAGCCTCGGGAAAATAGGGTTAAAATTAGACCCAGGATTGCCTCTTGAGGAGCAATTTCGAGCACCCTTTATGGAGCACTTGTCCATAAAATATCCAGCTCCTCAACGCGAATAAGAAAACATCCACTCGATTTTAAAAGCACATGAAAATTCAAGTATGCATCAAATCAGAAATACACATGACATAATAGAAAGACGCAGGCAACCAGCAACCATGTTCAGCAATAAATCATCCAAAATACAAGTGGTACCTTGCAATTTGACAACCTCCCACAATTCAACCATCCCGCAATTTTCTGGTCACATTTGCAGGGAGGTTAATTTTCGATTTGATCCTTGCCCTGCAATTTGACCTGCTTTGTTCATCATTTTTGCATTTTTGTACCAATATTTTTGAATTTCCCAGTGCCTTGCAGTTCAACCACATTGCAATTTGACCCTAGTTTGGCAACAGATAAGGGTCAAATTGTAAGGTACCACCTGTACAAGCATCACACACACCGTGGTTCAAACATACAATACAATAGTTTGCAGCTAAATAAAGACTGTGCTTGGAAATGAATGTCCAAAACAATGAATTAAGCAAAATATGACACATGCGCTCAAAATATAAAGTATACAGTATTCCATTTTACATTTGAGGTACAACTGCATAATTTTTTTCACGTAAAGCAAATCAACTATTTCAGAATAAAAATACAGTTGAACCTCAATAAGTCAAACCTCCCAAAGTGAATACCTCCCAAAGTCAAACATTTTTGCAGTCCCTGTATAAATTCCCTTTGAAGCAACGCATTAAAAATCTATGTAACTTGAATGTTTTTCCTCTCAAGCCTCTGTAACTCAAATTTTCTGAGGCCCTTTGGCTATCATTCTCTTGACACAGGAAAGAGAAAAGTAATAAAATGTCACAATTATTAAAAAAAAAAGTTAAAGACTAATTGAGCAAAGTAGCCACTGCCTCCAAGTTAATAATCCTGTCAACTCATTTGAGAAGTAATTTAATGCCCAAAAAATCATTATTTATTATTCTTTCTATGTTTCCCACAGCAAGAATGCTTTTTCCCTAACTCAAAACCTCCCAAGTCAATCTTTTTTTTTGCTAGTCCCTTCAAATTCAACTTAAAGAGAACTGGATTCATTAATGAGTAAATCTGTCCAAGGAAATCTATATGCAAATACAGTAATAGTATCTCAAACAAAGAAATCTTACAATGCCTTGCGCATTTTTATGCTCATTATATAACTTATCCTTTAATGGCATAATTTGCTCCATGTTGTTGGAAAACGTCAAAAATAAATATGAAGGGGTATTTATTCTAAGTACAGTAAATATAATCTTGTTACAAACTACCGCAATGAACAAATTATGCATTAAAATTCAACAAATTTATCTTTCAGGCCCCTTCCCAATTGCAGCATTATTATTTTAATTTCTGAATAGAGAATTTTGTTGTAGTACAGCTTTTTTCCTGTTCCCAATGGCTCTGTTGTGACAAGATTTCACTGTACTCCAATCAATCTTGTAAATCTGAACATTCTTGTTATTTCATCATAGTCAGTGCTCATTCAGGAATCAACCAGAAGGACAGTATTCAGGCAGCAATCCCTGAATTTGGATTATGTCAATGTTCTTTTAGGCTTGTGGAGACTCGTGGAGAACTAAAAGAAATCAGGAAACTAGCTGATGGACCACAAAAGAGTACAAGGAGAAGATCAATGAACCACTGAATGAGTATTGCTCATGGGGGAGCTCAGCTGTGAGTAACCTCCCAGCAGCACCCAGGCATCAAGCTGAGATGGGGGCACCCAGATAGCAACTTTCCCCTCCCTCATCCCTGCTGAGCATCCTCACATTAGTATTCCAGTCCACACATGTGAGCTGGCACAACCCTGTGTGCTGACTGGCAATAGAAGAAGAGAGAGAGAAGGAGAAAGAAAGAAAGAGGAGGGGTTCTATGACATAAGGCTGTTGATCCACATGCTTTATGGGGGAAGATATCTAATGCCTACTTTACACTTGAATGGCTTCTCTGCGGGCCCCTGATGCATGCCATGCAATCTTCACATCAGGGATACAATTCTGTAAAAATATTCAATAATTCAATGCGAAGTAAATCATGTTAATCATAGTATGGGGGAAATTTATCAATTATTTCTGGGTAAATTAATCAAATGACTAAATTTCTATTTACAGTCAACCTCTTCAATTTTATTTCCAAGGGATCTACCAAATTTTGACTCATGGACGTTAAAAGTTAGGGAAACAAGTGATTTTGATTTGGGGGGGGGGGGGGGGGGGGAAACATGAATTTCAGGAAGAAGGAATTTGTACCCTTCTAGGCCTGAAATAGTTTCTCAAATGAGTTGACACTATGATGCTGAACTTTAAGACAATAGGGTTCATTTACCCAATTATAAGTATCTGACTTCCTTCTGAAAAGCATCAAGTTATATTTTTAATGCTCATTTACTTCTTGAATCCACAAAATAATAGCCCAAACAATTTGAAGGGAATATTTTTCAAGGGAAAAGTTTTTCTTTGTGGGAAGCCTGCCACGCATTGTTTTCAAGAGTATATGAAAGAGGGATTTTAAATTTTAAAATAATTTAATATGAGGGGGCTTTGACTTAACAGGGTTCAAGTTATCAGTGTCTAACTGTGTGTACAGTCAGACCCCAATATGAGGACACCCCAAAATAGGGACATTTTGACTTATGGACACTTCAATCAACAACAAAAATCTGGTGCAAGATTTTGACTCAAGATAGGGACACCTTTCTGGATTTTCCATGATTTTCCATTGGTATCTCAGAGAAATCAAGCTAACATCATTTTTGCAAGACTTATTCTTGTTGTTAGATGAAAAGCAAGCAAAGATTAAACCAGGAGTGGGAATGCGTGAAAAATTACAGGGGAAAACCATGAAAGGTGTTCGAAATTGTAAAAAATCAAGTCTAGATGCACAAAAATTAACAGCAGACTTGATATTCTAAAAAAAATGTTTATAAAAATAAATTACCCAAACTATGCATATTCGAATAAATCGCGTTTCGCAGTCGCAGTATGAAAACATTATATAAATGCAGATTAACTAATTGCGTAAATGCTAACAAAAAACAGAAGCCGGGCATAAGCATTGGTCATACATGTGGTTTACTATAATGACAATGAATCGATTAAGTGATTGAATCGAAAGCGTTTGCTAATCCGATTATCTTTCAGCACTCTTCAAAATGACGCACTGTTTCATTGATGCTTCAGAAAATAACATTCTTGATGACATAGTTACGGTATATTAAAACAAAATTAAAATATTCATTGTGGATTCGACACCATATTTGCTGATCAAAACCATTTTTCAGTGCGCATGAAATTTTCCAAAAATTTCGCCGGTGACGGCACAGTTCTATTTTAAATTTCTGATCGCAGATTCGTAATTATCGCGAAAAGCCCAAGTGCAATTTCCAGATCCTGTACAGAAGCCCTGCTTGATCAAATGAAGTAAACTATCAAAATAATCCGCTTTGCCCGCATTCAATCAGCGGAAATACAAGGGAAGAGCCTTTGAAGTTCCACCTCCGCACAGGAAAACTTCCATCTTCATGGATCACGTCAACCCAATTATTCCTCGACAGTCCATAAAATTTAAAATGTGTCTCGATGAATTTTCCTCAAATTCAGATTGAATGTAAACCCAATTGGAGCTGATGTGAGCTTTTAGTTTGCCTTTACTTGATTTATCAATCTGTTTATATGCTCAAGATAATCTGTAATGCTGAAGCGATCAATTTGAATTGTCAAGATTTTGAACTTCGAATGGAAGTCGAGTGAAGCGCACTCAATAAAATTGATTCGAGGATTGTCGTCACACATCCAATAAAAAAATACATATTTGAATAATGTTTGGGTCTAATGGATGAGTTCCAAATGGGAATTACAATCGCGAGAGGGGAAACAACGTAATTATTCACGCAAATGGCAAATGTCATCGATTCAAACGAAAACTTCAATTTTATCGATGGAAATATTTATTACTAGTGAATGATCAAAAATCAAGGAAAAAATTCAGATCAATGAGCTGATGCCAAGCTTATAATCTGGCAATTAATCTTTATTTATTGCTGCTCATTTATTGTCCCATCAGCCAAAATCTTGAGGAAATTTTCATGAACAAAAATAACTCTTTAATTCATTAGAAATATGGCCGAATTGCACATTTTTCAAGTGAAGTTTTGAATGCTGCAAACATCAAATTTTCTTGACAATTGAAATACCCCGTGCTTTTATTTATTTCTCAAATTCAAAGAAATGAAGTCTGACACTGCATATTATTAATTGCCTCTTAAAATGAAGCAAGCTTTGTAAAATGTTTGAAGAATTTTCTCAAACAAATGCTTGCAAATACAATAAAATTTCCCAGTCCAAAAGTTGAAGGAACTTTCCCATTTTAAGCAGTAAGCCATGGATTTTGGCCCAATTCTCAAATAAACTAACTACTGTATAAACAAATTACATTTAGATACCCCACAGAATGACGCAAGTACGACAATAAACAGCGAAGCGCTAAAAATTAACCTTTTAAAACGTAAAAACGGCTTGAATGCGATTTTATTTTATCGCGAAATCTCTTGTGATGACCACACATCACTTCATTCTGTTATATCAAATTACTGTATTGAGATAATGATTTTTCCCAATTTCTGCAAGGAAAACATTTGCCACACTTTAACAATAGCCCTTCCTTCTACACTTTTGTCCACCTCAATTCCAGAAGAGTTTCCCGAGCAGTTCAGCTATTTATAGAGTAGATGATTCTTTAGAATTAGTAGTACTCCTAATGCACAATAAACTATATAGAGTACTTGGATAGTTCGTATATACGGTCAACAAGA